GCACTTTTGCGATTGCTCACCCTCCCAGACGGACGACTGTCTGGCGCCACTGTGTAGAATTATTGCTTGAGGAGGGGGGCGGCGGCGACGACGACGGTAGCGGAAGCCGAAGGGTGGAAATCTACCCCCGACGATCCCGGTCACGATTCGGGCGAATTGAATGATACACAGAGGGCCCGAAGTGGAAGCTTTCGGGTAGAATAATAATTGTCGTCGGGGGCCCCCCTTTTCAAAGGGGTGGTTAGAACGAAACTTACTTAAAATTGGTTTATTTTCGTGGGTTAAAGACCGTCGAGCGATAATTTCGTCACGGAATTACCAAGACGAGGGGTTAAAATATAATTGGTAGGATTGCTTGGGATTTCTCGAAATAATTAGGTAGCTATTCTAGATCATTTTATTTTATACGTTTGGCTCTTCACGTGAATAATTTATTAATGTGGTGTTACACCACAAACAGATGGTTAGTTTGAAATATTTAAGAAGATAAACAGAGTGTGTGTGTTGGTAGAATGCGGGTTGTTGTGTCGTGACTGGTAAATGAACCGCGTCATGCACACGATCCGACACGTGGGAATGAACAGGAATTACAAGATAATGATGTTTATTGTTCCGAGGACGAAGAATGTTTAATATGAAATATTTCTGTGTAATATCATCTTGGGTTGGAACAATAACACGGTGTACTTTGTTCGAATGCAAATGAAGAAATAGAAATTTCACCCCCACAACGTTTTAATAACATATGTATTAAATTTATTCATGAATTTCATTAATCATTTATAACTTTAATAATACAATTTTCGTAAGATTATCTCCCGTTACACTTAGTCATAATTAATAATTAATTAATAAAGACTGCATCCGATGAAGGATAGAAAAATGGGAGATGAATTAAGTTCCGTGAAGCGGATGGTAGACGTTAACGTTGAAGCGAAGCTGTAACCGGCGAAAGCTTTAACTGAAGTTCCATTTAAGACGATTAATATTAAAGACAAAGTGCGGGTTGGGTACGTCAATGAACGTTCTGCTAATATTTAAACTTGACTTGTTCCTTATCGACCATTTTAAAAAAAAATTACAAAAAAAGAACAATGTAAACTTAACATTACAGTAAAACTTCGATATAACAAGTTAGAACGAATTTTGGATATAACGGACAAAATATTTTTAAGTTATTTTATTAATATTATCTCAGTATATTTAAATATAAATGAACTAGAAACATTCGGGTTTAGCCGCACGTCTCTTAAGACGGCTAAACCCGAATGTTGCTAGTTCCAGGTCTAGTGTTAGTCCTAGTCTTCCTCTAGCAGATCGTAATCTTTTCCACCAGTATCTAACATTTTGGAAGCAGTAGGTACCTTTTTTGGAAAGCATATCCCTTATTTCCAAGTAGTTATTAGCCATTTACAGTAGTATTTAGCATTCTGGTAGCATTAGGTAGCTTTTTTGGAAGCATATCTCTTCTTTCCAAGCAGTTATTAGTCTTTTCTAGCAGTATCTAACATTCTGGAAGCAGTAGGTAGCTTTTTGGAAAGCATATCTCTTTTCCAAACAATTATTAAAGTCTTTGAAAGCAATAAGTAAGCAAGTGTTGGAAGCTATATTCCGCCTGTCCAAGTAGGTCAAAACCTTTAACAGTAGTGTTTAGCGTTCTGGAAGCAGTAGGTATTATTTTGAAAACAGCATCCAGCCTTTTCCAAGTAAGTTGAGCTATTTTTCTGCAGTATCTAGCATTTTAGAACCAGTAGGTAACTTTTTGAAAAATATTTCCTCTTTCCAAGCAGTTTTTAGTCTTTTACTAGCAGTATTTAATCTTCTGATAGCAATAATTATTAGTCTTTTGGTAAGGTATCAGGTATAGATTTTAGGTTACCTTTAGTTTATAGAGACGTGGCAATCTCGATTGACGAAGCATTCTTTTCTAAAATCATGCATCATACAGCAAGGAGTTTTAGCACAACTATTAAGACGCGTGCTTTTTCAAATCGATCTGCAAATAGTCGCAATATTTCTTCTGCAGATACTCATGATGGAATCTTTTATGCAGGTATTTAATAATTAAATACCTGCATAAAAGATTCCATTAACCATTATTAACCATTATTAATTATTAATAATGGTTAACACTTCGAATAACCTACAAAGTAATAACTCAACAATTCAAATACCCGTCTTTCATCATTAGCATAAAGAATTTTAGGCACGCTTTATAACAAACAGACTGCGATACCAAATTGAATTTTTTTTGTCGTTTTTGTTATCCCATAAAAGCGTTTGTTTTGTAATTTCTAAAGTTGACCCATATTTTCGAAAACCATTCGAATTATTAGGTAGAAATTCCATGCTTTCAAAACAACACCAACAATCAATTGAATTACGGAAATTTAGAACGAAATTTCAAATACAAATTCCAAAACGGAAATGAACCCAAAAATGTACATACAAAATTAATTAAATGAGATGAGTAAAAGAATCGCAAATTTGTGCGATATTTTCGTGGAAATTTCTCCCCGTTTTTTGTGTCTCATTCTCTTTTTTTATTTGAAAAGGGCCTTCTCAGATTTATATTCATACGAATTATAAAATTCAATTTCACCTAAAAGCTGAGGTATTACTGCCTGGAATTGATATAGGTATGGTTTATGTATGAGATTTGGGGAGTAAATCATACGAGTTAGATATCTTTTTTTCTTTTAAACTTCGTATTTGTTATCCACATATTATTTAAAAATTGATTTGAGTATAAAATTGCGAAGAAAACGTAATTTAACCAATCTTCTCTTACGGTGAGAGGAAGTTAGCGACCATTCTGATTAAAGCGCATGCATAAAATATAGTCCCGTGACGATTGGTAGCCCTGGTAAAGCGGCACAATTCGTCGCGAGAAAACTTCCGCGGTACTGCAAACATAATTTTATACACAGAACCTTATTTCCCCGGGTTCATTACCATATTCCGGACTCGCGATTTATACCACCCTTAAAATTCATCCATTCTTTATACCCCCGCCGTACATTTCGCGGTTTATTTCGCTTTTAAGAATCACCCCAGGATATGAAAGCGATAACCCCCTTTTTGCCCTGGTCAAACGAAGTTATTAAATTTTTTCCCTAGATTTATATTAATTTTTCATTTTTTCTTTGTTAACACAAACCTGGTTATATTAAATTAGTAATATTATGTTTACATTGTTCATTTTTAACGCTTCTAAAATTTGTATAATAATATAAATTTGATATCTTAATTTACTTTACGTTATTTAAAACTAGACTCTGGGGAATACGAGATCTATGGTTGGAATATGAATGAAAGGATTTTTGGGGTAATCTCACTAAGATGAGGTTGTGGGCTGTACCAAGATTGACTTGACTCTACACATTTTTGTATGTTAACACTTTTCATGATAACCTTGCGAAAGAGTTGCGAAACAGTAAGCGTAAAGCAGCCTAAGTCCCTAAAGTTTGGGTTATTAAGATCTACCATCACTCGATCAGAAATCACTTTATATCCATAGGCCCTTAATTAATTCTCGCCGTTTATTACAATCTTCGAGACAAATATAAATATAGTAATAATATGGACTTACCTTAATGAAGAAACACCATTCGAAAGATGTAGGCATGCAGCTTGGTTTTATCCTTCTAGTCCACAAAACTGCTCACCGAATGCAACACCAGAACCATCTCTTTTCCCTATGCATTAATAATAAAAGTAGCAAATAAAATATAAGTGCAATATGACTAAATTGCTACGAGAGTAGCAAACAAAATAAACAGTTTGTTACTAACGATAGAATGTTTATCAAAATCATGAACGACATGAAGCCAGAGTATGTGTTATGGTGTCAAGTATGTCAGCAACAATAAATGTAAAATTTTTGTCGAAATCTATTTTAGCTTCATTAAAATCCCAAATTATACAAATTCTTATGATTGTATATACAATACAAATTATTGCAAATCGAAAATTAAATGCTGATATAAATATATTAAAGACTGCTGAAGTATAGAAGTCTAAATACTGATATTGGAAGACTTCATGCTTCTTATAGATGATTGACTGTTGGCATAAGATTAGGTATTGTAGATTAGATAACACTCATAGCAAAATCAGTATCCTTTTTCTATATCATCTTTATAGAAGACTAAATGCTATTAGCGGTTCACTAGAAATTACTTGAAAAATATTACAGTTTGATTTCCGTGGGTTAAATACCACTAATAGAAGAGTAGGTAGTACATATAAAATACTACATTCGTCTTATAGAAATTAAATGTTGATAGTCGATGATTAAATACTGCTACAAAAAGGTTATCGTTTAGCTGAAGTCTATAGTACATTGAAAATGAAAGACTAGATATTGTTAGCAGAAAACTAGATATTGCTTTCAGAGTCTATAGGTTGCTGGCACAAGTCTAGATACTGCCAATGAATAGAATGATTTAGAGCATATTTACTTCGGCTGCTATACTTGAGTTGTAAAATGCTGCTGCAGATGCCTGTCATGACGGAGTATATGTGGGAGCTTATTACTACACATAGAAGACTAAGTAGACATGCAAGACTATAACTATACTGCCAATAGAAAACTAAATCCTCATTATAAAACATTAGATAGTGCTAGCAAGAGCCGAAATATTGGTGGTTATTAGAGTAGATATTGCTTAGAGAAGATAAGATATTAACCCAAACTAGATAATTTTAATAGAAGGCTGTAAAAGACTATGGACTGCTGACAGAAGTCTAAATATTGTCAATGGATTCTTAATATAGAAGGGTAGACACTGCTAGCAGAAGAGTACCCTGCTCTCAGAGCAGTTTCTAATAAATACTCTTAATTTTGCTTTTGGCTATTTTCTTGATAGAACCAATACCACACATAATACTAAAATTAGTCGAAATTTGTTCAGTATTCAAGTTCCGTCAAAATCTCCAGATGGAATTTTTGTATAATTATAATACTATCCCTTGATATACTTACTTTTATCTCACTTCATATTGATATTCAGTTCTTCTTATCACTAGGTAGTTTTGTTTTTGATAAAACAAGCCAAAGGTTTTCGCGCAAACTCAAGGGGCGGTCTCTAACTTCCTTTACAAGCGCGAATTTGACGAATACAGTGGTGCGTCATCGTTCGTTCGGTGCAGGTCTGTCCTGGTACGTGCTAAAAATACACATCGCGTATTAGTTGGGTGACTTTTTTTATTATTTCGTTAAAGAAAATAAACTTTTCGGTGTGTTAAAGACAATTATTTCCAAACAAACAATGATTTCGTTATCGATTTTTAAATGGATCGTCATTTTCACTACGATTTTTGCAGGTAAAAGTTTTTATATTTAAAATAAAGGAAATTTACCATTGTTACATTCGGATTTTATAACTCAAATAAATTCGTTTCGAGTTCATTTTCGTCGAGGTTGACAGCTAAACTTCAATTCGAACACGGTTGATGCTGTTGGGCAGTAAATAATAGTAGAAATCGCATTAAATTTAATCCATTTTTAATCACTCAACCAATCATTTCCGGGCCGGATTTCAATTTTAATGTAAATTTAACATAGAGATTCGTTCAATTTTTGTTGTTTTAACAATACTTCATTTATTTTGTCCAAATTGAAACATAAATTAATTTGTTGATAAAATATCTTAATTTTTTTCTCATTTAGCTTTAATAAAATATGAGAAAGTTTTAATTGGGGATAAAAGTTTCGTTAAAAATGGTGGAGGTGCCGGAAATGAATTAAAAATCTTCGAGTTAAATTCTTTTTAATAATTATTGTTGCAAGGATTGTAATCAATGAAAGATTTTTTAGTTTGCAAATCCAATTTTGAAAGAACATAAATAAGAATTCTTGCGAAAATTCAGTTCTCGTCGTGGATATTGGAAGTTGTAAACCCCACAGTTTTCCGTCGAGGGTTACAAAATTTCGATTCAGCACACTAAATTCTTAAGTTTTAACTTAAAGTTCCGGGTGCCCTTCATCGCACCCGGCACACAAATTCTTTTCAACGTGAATCAATTTTTACAAGACACAAACCTATTTAAACGCTCCCCAAACACCCCAAAACAAAAAAAGTATTGAAATAATTCAAGGCGGGATTAATTGATACATTGACACGTTCAGACCTCAATTATGCATTATATCGACATACGGAAGCTTCTATGTTGGCACCACTGCGGTACGTTTCCGCTTCTCCATTACGTATAAACCATAATATGGCTCTATTGCGTATGGAACTTATCGATTTTACAACACAAGAGGTTAATGCCGTTCGTGTGTGAACGTGTAATGGAAGAAATATGACCTTTAACGGGGTTTAAAAGCATCACCTTAAAAGCTTTACCGCGAAATAACGCCAAAAAAAAAATACAATTTAAGTACCCACTAGAACTCAACCTCTAAGTTCTTCCGCACTAACCTTGATTGAAAACTCATATCTTAACCAATCTTTGATTACCCTCAATAGAACATCAGAACTCCTTGAAACTACCTTTACCGCAATAAGTGAACAATACCAAAACAGCTTGTTACAAAGGATAACAACCGCGCGCTTAACACCTTGATATCCTTGCCAGATAACGAGAAGGAATTATGTCTGTTCGACACGAAGTCGTTAAATGGGCGGAAAATTTGTAGGTTAAAAAAACAAACCCAAAGGAAAAATCATTCGGTTCATTTAATTTTTTTTTGCTTGTATTCCTTTTAAACTCTAATGGGAGTATTCAAGTAAATACGAGAGAATTATTTATTTTCTTGGAAAAGTTGAGAACTAGTTCAATAAGAATTTTCGATGAAAAAGAATTATGAAATGCAAATCGAGTTGGAGATTTTTATTTTAAAAAATCATAAAATATAAATGAACTTGAAAAACAATTCGTAAAGAAAATTACTTCCGCGACGCGATATCTAAGAAGGTGAGGCGCAAACCAGAGTTGAATTCGTGAAAAGCCCCCTCAATCACACACATAAATCTTTGAGACGAGAGCTTCGCACCAATCACAGGCAAGAAAACTTAGATTAAGTCACGTCCTTTCTCAGCGCACCCAATTAAGTGTTGTTTGTAGCCTCGTCTTTGTACGAGTTACTTTTAGCGGGGACAACACCCCTCTCTTTCATCCACCTCTTCAACCCCATTTCCTTAGGGGACGGAGGACTCCACATGCGAATTCACTGCCTAGTTAAAATATGCAGATTGGCGAGTGATGCCCGGAATTTAAATTTTGCCTTATCCGGTTCCCCAAAATTTACTTTAGACGATGAAGAAAAGATCTCGATGGAAATTCTAGTAGATCTCTATCTTCATAGTAAGTCCTTAATTTAGATTTTTCTTAGAATTAACTAGTTTTCGGTGGATATACTATTAATTGTAGTTAATCTAAAACCAAAACTGTCTGATTTTGCCGGATTAAGTCATCTCAACAAATCATTTTTTCTGTATTGTTGTGTCTTTTTGTCGAGGCATACAATTGTCGAGGCCCTGCAATCAACGCAGTAATCAAATACAATGTATCAACGATCGATTATAATAGTTAATTATATATCAATGTCATACTTGATGTGTACGACCGTGACACGTATTAATTGAAGTCCACTTTCTGTAGTTAAAACGCAGATTGTATAGTACTACCATACTAGAAATAAAAGCAAATACTGCCTAGAAATATGACGTTGACCACATAAGACCTTTTACCACCTATCTGCATCAATATGAATCGTCGAAAATCAGAGAAGTTTTAAATTTAAATTCCTATAATGCTTGACTTCCAGAATCTATCATCTAACCATCATAGTTTATTGATGTCTACACGTTACAGTTAGCGTGATTTTAGAGCTCGATTTTCTTTAATGGTTTCAATATCCGATTTTTTGAATGGATACGTAAGATGTAATCAGCATTCTTTCAAAAGAGACTTTCTACATCTCACACTTAATCAAGAAAATATCCTTCATTTGCATTTAAAGACGCAGTTTTACATTAAATTTTTATCAACTATAATTACATTTTTATTACAAAGAGATGAAGTTCTTTTTTTTCAATCTGTGTATAAAGGCTTAGTACTGTTTGCTAGGTCGCGTTTCCATCTACATTATTAGATTTCTCGTTCCATTTTCTGTGTTATTTCGTCCCCGCTTAAAAATAAATCGTTAATATTCAAAATTGTGTTTTATACTCATTATGAACTATTTTAACGTTATCAAGTTATACGTTTTTTGCAACGTTGGAAATGAAAACGGGAATGCAATCATAGAAAGTTCAATCACTTAAATTGCAAACTTATCTGTTCTACTAGGTGAATAGGAGAGGTAAAATCTAAAATCCATTTCGGAGATATCCCACTGTTAAACGTTACCTTACAGTTTAGATAAGAGAATTAGAGGAGTGATCCTCATATACTGTTAATAATAATAATACCATAAGTTAACATACATATATTATGTATTTCTGTTCCAATTTATAGGTTATGTTCATAAATTTGTTTAAATTTAATTATTAAAATTCATAAATTATATTACCTATCATTAGTTTTCCACAATCCTTTTCCGATCAATCACTTTCCTTAATTTCATCCACTTTACTTTATTTATTTATTAATTCGTTTTTTATCACATAATGATGCAGTAAAATTAACCTCAATACTCGGTACCCCTCTAAGGTAGTATTGCACTTGGGGTAGGAAAATCTTTAATTTCGATTGACAAGATTTTAATATTTATAATAACGATTTAAATCATTTTCAATTTTTAAATTTTTTATTTATTACCATTTCTTATTACCACACAACCAAATGAGTCATATATTAAAAAATCATAAATTAAATATTAATAATTATTATATTTAAAGTTTTATTTTATCCCAATATCCAATATCATTGTGTCAGTTTCAACTGTCAAAGTGACAAGAAGATTTTCAATGTAAGTTTTTATTATTATTATTTTTATTAACTTATCATTTAATTTACACGGTTTGTTTATTAAAAAATTGTTTATTAACACGCTTTTTTTAACAAGCGATTTGAAACAATAAGGTTTACTAGAAATGTAGATATTAAAAATGTTAGGTTAGAATTAAACTGGTTCTTTTTTTAGATTTATGATTTAGTAATAAAAATCAAAATAATTTTCTGTGCATTAACCAAGTGTGTGATTACTTATGATTTATGATTATTTCTTTTGAAGTAGCAGAAGGAAAAATGCACATAACCTCGATGCAATAACCCCAATGATATATAAGGTACAGTTTGTCTTCTTTTTCGGGCAAGCGAACGGAACCTTTTTGATTTACAATCCTAGTGAAGTAATAAATTTACGCGAGCATCAATTGTGCTCAAGTTATTGCCCCATTGGCCGTCCTCGGGTCCTCTCTATTGCGGTCACTTTTTTTTGTACCAATAGGTGTGCTGAAGTTCCAAAATTTATTGATGGCAATTTATTTGGAGATAAATTGGATCATCGTTCATCGTTTTCTATTGAGATGCTAAATAAGTTTTCCGGCTCCTCCGCCGTTATTGGTACAATTTATTACTTTCGACTTAGAAGGAACAATAAGATTTAATAAGGCTTCTCTTTTTCGCGGAGTCGCTGTTAAATTTTTTCGCGATAATAGTAGTTGTTGACGTTTCTGCTTTTACCTCATCTCTTGGTAAGGCAATCCGCAGATGTCGTTAAGGACAGACGACGGGTGAATGCTGAAATTCGGGGTTCCGGGACACTAATTTTATACGTCTGGCACTTATCCTCCGAAAGAGGACGGCACAATTGAATTTTGCGAGCGGCATTCTGGGGGAATTGTCAAAATCCTTCGTTCGAGACGACCTGAATTTTAACATACGAATATTTTTACATAAACCATTTCATCTTAATAAAAAAAATATCTACACAAAACTTATAATTACGATAACTTGGTTTATCTTCGATTCCTGGAATTTAATTGAAATTTTACGAGGACGTTGAGATATGTTCGAAGGCGGAGGAGTTTTCAAGATTAACTTTTTAAAAGCGCTAGGTACGTTTCGCTTTTATAACGTTATAAAAGCACGGGTTGAAAGAAAATTTGCATACCGTAATAATCGCATATCTCCCGGTGTATCCCGAAGGAGTACAGGTGACGGACGAACTTTCGCAAAAAAGAAGAATTGCACTCAAACGGAACTGACTGACTGACTACAAAATGAAGCCGCAGGGGTAATTGAAATTAAAATTGAATTAGTTTCGATTTTTTTGAGGCTCGTTAAATGGAAACTTGAAATTTTACGTTGGCGTGAATTTTTTAGAAATTCTAGAGCAGAATTTCCCAACTAAGGGAAGCATACAGGTTTGG